TGGCTTTTAGTCAGTAAGGGACTCTGACACTCCCTTTCGTTCCAGACAGGGCGAGAGAAGCCATTTCACAACTGTCCAAACTCGAAAAAACGGAAACTAACTCATCTTTTCTGTATTCACGAAGCTATGGACGGTGATAAAAGTTACTAGGTATACCATAGGGTTCAAAGTAAACTATAACAGTTGGAAGACAATCAAGTAAACACTGGCAATGTGTATTAGTACGTGATACCGTGACACGGCCGTCGGTAGCTCGTCGCCCCGGATTATTAACAGTTATTAGGCTCCGCGGTATAAGTCCGGATTAAATCTGTGTCAATTTGCATTTTATTATGATGACACAGCCTTCGAGTCGTAACTCCGAAGACGGCTTACTAAAGGTTTATTTTGATAATATTATGCCATTCGATCCAAAAAAGGATTGACAGTATGGAACCACATGTATGTAGTATCTCTTTATATAGTGAGACAATTAATTACCTAATAAAAGTCGAAAACAAAACAAATAAGAGCTTCACGAGTATTGTTTTCGACTTTTCAATTGAAAAACATAAAACAAAAAATCTTTCATTAAATATTCAGGATAAGCTAATACAATCAGCTATAACAAAAAAAATGCATCATGATTGCCATGGATAGAAATAATGTTTCTTATTAAAAAAAGTAATTGTTTAGGTTTGGAGTTATAACTACATTATTTTTTGTAGCTTCAAATAAGTCAACATTTTTCAAATAAATATAAACGAATCTACAGTTTTTCAGCTATATATTTTTAAATGTGGGAGAGCCATGCTTCGGCACGAGTGGGTCGGCTCGACCGACATGATACCACGGCTTTACAGAAAATCTACGTGAAAGAACCACAGCGTTGTTTCGCTATGTGAGAGACTTCTCCCCCAATCCTTCTCCAATCCCAAAATCTCCAAATTTCTAAAAGGTCAGCAACAAACTCGCAACTCTTCTGTTGTTGCGGGTGTCCATGGGCGGCGCTGATTGCTTACCTGATGGTACCTGATGGACGGATTACGTGATGCTAATCCGTCTGCTCGTTTGCCGACATATCACATAAAAAAAAAGATTTTTTATCCAAAGTAAAGACATTTTCATAGAAATTCCTTAACCCTTCAAATAACAGCCTGAATGAAAAAATCGTCTATACAATCAAATGGCTCGTCGTACAGGCCGTTGGTTGAATTGCTAATTAAGCTGTTTGATTGCGACATTTATATTATAATATAAAAGAATAATTGAGTACAGTTATGGCTGAGCTTACGGTACGGATAATGTCAGAATGATTGATATTATTAACGGATTAACTACAAGTTATGGGATACTACTTGAATCTCGATTACCGTGAGCAGCTTGCCTGTGCAGCTGTATTACTATTATGAATATATTATTGATTGTTTATGAATCTCTCTCTTAATTACCAAGGTTATAGTGTTATACATCTTACCTTTGAAAAATAAAACAAAAGATCACACAGCTTAAGGAAGTGATGCTACTTCTTATTCGGTTAAGCAATTCTCCTTATAGTCGGAAACGTACTTATCTTTTGGTGATGCGAAAGGTTTCTTTTTTGAGGGAAAACTATTAAATCTTCTCCCTCCTGACTAAAAACTCGAGTCGGGTTCTCGTCAAGCTGTTCTTGCTTGATGTCTACAGACCTGCGATTATGGTAGCCGGAGATTGGAAAAAGGTGGATGGAACGTTTCCTGAGGCCTTTGGAGAGTGTCGTTCTCTCTCGCGCTCCACTTCCTTCTTAGCGAAGGTGCTTCTCAGAAAAAAGAGACGACACCTAGTTCCTCTCGCTCTGCATGGTAACCTGCACAAAAGCCGAAGCTTTCCTAAGGCTGCGGTAGATCATTAGGCGCCTTATAGCTTTTGTTGCTACCAACATAAGTTAATTTTGTTTCAGTCCCGTACTACCTATACCTACAAACTCTGTCCTCCAATCAATCCTGTTTCAGTTTCCACCTAAATCGGTCCGTAGAAACGAGTTAGCAACCAGATTTATTTTAGTATACGTAATTGTAGAATAAGTCAATTATAAACAAACACCCAGATACTTTAATTACATCGAAAAAGCTGTGCCAAAAATAACACCAAAGTTAATCAGTTCAGTTGGTATCTAAATAATACGGAGCCGTATCATGTCGGCGAAACATAAAGGTTGTAAATAAGGGAAGTTCGTGATTACAGCCAGTGGTACAAATTAACTATAAACTCCGGTTTCATCGTAAAGCTCGTTACAACTTTTACACGTTACCGATGCTTGAAACTTGTAACAAAGGACGGTTTGTGTGTCTTTCGCATAGCCTTTCCCCGACCAGGGGTTGTTGTTAATCTGTACGCTAATCTGAGTGCCTAGAGCGAGTTTGTTTTACGTTAACGCAATCGAAATGTTACCGCGTCTAGCTCTCTGATTGGTTGGTCAATTAGGAACTGGCTAATCAGAGTGTTGAATGTCATATACGTGTCGAACTGTCGATTCTGCTAACGTAAAACAAACTCGCAAACTCTATACGAGTACATGAGGCAGAGCAACCTACTGTCAAATGTTATGGTGACAAAATTAAAGAAGATATTTCAACTTCTTGGTTCTCTTTTCTTTAAAAAAAGTGAAAATTTATGTACCTTTTAATTTAAAGAATGTTAAAGTCTAACGTCACTAAACAATCAATTAGAGACCACTTGCGATACAAGTGCCTCTAGCGGCTGCAAAAAGGTTATAACTGTCTGAAAGGATAAAAATCAGTGCTGCAGGCTGGTTATATGGTCCACAGGTGACAAAAAAAAAGAAAAGAAGAAAAGTTTTTAAATTATAACGCCTTGGCTTTCCTCTTCGTGTTAATTTTTGGCTCTCTGCCATAGTCAACTGTATTGAAACAGTTCAAGTAGGACGATTTATCAAAATGAGGACGTTGTTTAACTTTTTTAAACTCATTACAAAGCTAGGAGGTAGGCATTGCGTTCGTTTGCATACTGCATCAAGACTAAGAATTAATTAGAATACATTATAATGAAAACTTTGCAATGAGTTCGACACGTCTTCCGTATAGTTTTAATTTAGTACAAGATGTTGTCAGGCCAGACAAGATGGAGACATGGATTATATTAATAGCATAAATTAAATTTGTTTGTAATATTTGTTCTTTAAATTACTTTTCAACAAAACATTTCCTTTATTGCTACGCGTTTTATTATTTAATATTCAGTTTGATAAATTTAAATATAAACGCATCAGTTTTGTTAATTTTCTTGCGTATTTTCTATAAAAACCTTACCTTCCTAACATAGCACCATTTACCTGTGTGGTTGCCAAGCAGACAAAATGAAATTAAATATTCCATTCATTATAAATGCACAAATACCAACCCACTGTCGCTTACTAGACAGGCTCATGATATGATTGGCATTCAATATAGACCGATAATTTCCCTTTCATAAATCAAGGCAGTCACTTGTCATAATTGTTCTGTTTACTGAGGCGTAAGCATAATTAATTAACTTTCCGATATTCACAGATTTGTCCCTACCTACGAACCAACATATGTTCGACGAAGTCGCGGCTCACTGGCGCCAATTGTCTCATCAATAGAATTATTTATAGTCTGTGGCAGCAATGTCTTCTCCGACCTACATTTTGTTCTACATCCAGCAAAATATATCGGTAACGATAATAATTAATTTTATAAATGACCGGACAACTTCAATTCAATCCTTCGATTCAATAATCGCTGGACATCAATATATATCAGCGAGACAATTTATAATTAATTGACCATTTCAATTATTAAAGTATATTAGTGGCTGATTTTAGGTCAGCAATTAATATCAAAATGAGTTCAGTGGAGGTTCAACGGGTCCCGCTGCGGAAATCTATTAATTTGGCCGTAAAGCGCGGCCATTACAGGCGAGTCGCCAATTATTCCAGTCTCCCTCAGTAATTAAATTCTATGATGTTCGCCAATCTAAGACAGGCGCCGTTTACGATACCCAAATTACTGTTTCATTGCCCGTAAAAAGATATAAGAATGGCTTATTATTGAGAATTCCAGTTATAATCGCTCATAATTTTTTCGGAGGGTCGTAATCAGGAAAGTACATTTAAGTTTTGGCGTTAAGTATGGATATTAATTAATTTTTATTTTTAAAGTTGTCTCGTTAGTAATTTAAATGGTATTATGAAGTATTGAACGCACTTGGTGCCGCCGCTGTAAGCCTTTATGTCATCACTGTCCCGGCTGTTGACACGCGTTAAAAGAGGCTCAGACGCGCCGAAACTGATTTATTATACTCAGTGGAAAACGTTCAGCGTATTTTTGTTCTTGTTACGAGAATTATTCCAGCTTATTGCCAGTGTCCGCTTCCCGAACGAGTGCCCTCGACTTTACTCGATCTCATGAATTGTCAGCGGTCGCATTGTTCACTCTCTTATCGAGATTTTCTTCCGTGTCCGAGATTGTTCAGTTTGGTTGCGGCATTATGTATACTAACGTAAAAAATGAAAACTGATGAAGATTTTTGCTGAAATTTGTTATGAGAAAAAGTATCATTTGTTTGCCTTCTCCAGGAAGAAGAATTCTTCTTATTTTCCATTGGGTGCATTGTAGGAACCATTTTTTTTTGCTATCGAATCTATAAAATGTTTACCTACACAATAGATGGACAACCGGCTGCCGTGCAAAGTATTGCGGGTTCTATTCTATTCCCGCACGGAACAACTCTTTTCGAGATTTAGGTACAAATTATTGCTAAGAGTCTAGGTGTGACGAGCATGTGAAACTTTCAGAAGAAAATACTAGTGCGGGGCCACGACAAAACAATTTAAAATAATCACGACAGTGTCAATTTACTTGGTGTAAGTAAATTTTCCTCTCATTCAAAATAGTAGGTTAATATTAAAAAAAAGATACGTGTATAAATTATAACACATATTTAGATCTAAAATAATTTATTTTCTTGTTTCTTTTATAAAACAATTGCTTAGAATCTAACTTAATTATATAATTTACAATAAACATATTTCATAGCGTTTCTTCTACATTTGTAATTATTTACAATAAGTATTTTTATACAATAAGTAACATTTTGAGTAATGGCAATTACTGTTTATTTATACTTAAATAAAAATTACATTAATAAATAGAAAAAATGCGAAGGTTTCTAACACCGCTTTGTATAATTTGAACTTCGATCACAACATACAACAAGTACGATTTTATCTTTATACAAGGCAGCATGAGAAAGTATACAAGATTATATTGGGGTATAACATTACCTGGCGAACTTACCAACTTATTTTTAATTGTCAAACATAATTCCATTATTGGGCGAAACAACAATAAATAACAATTCGGAGGACAAACTAAGCGAGGCTCGATACAGCCAGTAACATCGACATAATTATACCGTAGAGCATCGCAACTTTTCAAACTCTTAAAGTCTATATTTTTCTCGAATACAATCACTATCTACTCTCTGCAGATCATTTATATTATATAATACTGGTGACTATTAATTCAGTGGAACGTTATTGCTTTATTTTACGATTGATTCACTTAACAACTATCGTCATCAATTTCTCTTTACATAGTACACAAAAATATTATCTACTCAATAAACTTTAATAAGTTTTAATTTATCGTAATGTAAGCATGCTTCACAAGGCACTATTCTAGCGAGATTATTATAAACTCAACCGAAAACACGACCAACTATTAAATTCGGTTTCAAAGTCCGAAGTCGGGCCTAAAATTACATTTTATGGCAACAAATCAATAACAAGTTTTTGAAACACAAATCGCGGGACTACATTGTAGAGCATTGTCAACACGCAACAGTCAGCCGCTACTTGAACTTATACAAACAAAATAATGATAGCTACAAGTCTACGCATCGCCTCGACACGGTACAAACAAGCATGTCCTCATTACATTTTTCTTACATCTAAGTTGGCGTTTGTATTGCTCTTTATTTTAAACATCCCCAAACTCGGGGAACACGACCTCCTATAAATAAGTTTACGTACTTCACTTGTCAAGTACGGGCTTACCATCGACTGCACCAAACTTAAACGTTATTTATGAACTTAGTCAACACAAGGAACTGTCACATTTTATTATATTACTGTTTAACAAACTGGCGTGTCTAATATGTAAATATCTTTGTTACGAAAGTTGGTGCAATCTATATTTTGTGCTCACAGTATTAAACTAAGACATAACGTCTAATATTCTTTTTGCAAATAATTTTATCACAAATTACAATTTAATGCGCCAGCACAATGATCCAATGAGAACTGATATCACAGCATTTTATACAGGTGTCGTCGCACCCTTAAATCTGTCATTTTTGACATATTTACAGTAGAATTTCATTGCGAAGGCGAACGGTCCAACTCGGTCATTGAAGCGCTAAATATTTCGACGAGACCGTTGTCCTTACTATATTATATTCAGTCGCTTTCGTTAATATTTTATTCCTCGATTACTTATGACTAATATAAACTATGCGATACTTTATTGGATAACAAAGAAAAACTTGTATGCGAAACTTGAACAGAAGTCAGTCATCCATCACCGCGCACTCTTCGGAACGGACAACAAATCTATTTTAACAGATCATCCCCTCACTACATTATCGTTCCCCTTTTAGTTGGAGACTCCCCAACCATCGTATCTCGTCTGTCAACTCACGCTGGGTGAATGTTACTTACTCTGCTGACAGTTCTAATTAATGTGAAAAATATTTTGTTTCACAATATTCACTTACAGAAACAAGGAACTTAAATGAAATCTAAGTAGAAAAATTAATTTTCTGTTAAACAATTCGTGAAGAAGAACAAAATGGTTGTACTCATACATCAAGATAGTAGCACATACGCTCTGTTAGAATAATCCGATAGTAAGGGGATGGGAATGCGTCTGCAAAATATCGGGTAGTTTACGTTAGCGTGGCTCGGTGTGTGTAATCGTTCATTAATCACTAGCGAGCTGTGCCCTATCACCGCAGCGAAGCCACGATCTCGTTGGACATACTGTTTTGCTGGCTCGATGCATTCAGGCTTTTGGAGCATTGCTGAAATATACAATATCTATCAATATATTTGGTTTGGAAGGGAAACGTCTGAAGTGACTCATTGGATACAAATCGTTGCCAATAAGAAGTTGTTGATGCTGAAGAGGGCAGGAATTTTGTAAGGAAAATCTTTTTGTTTGTATATCGGTTGAGATTAATTTTATCGGGATGGAACTAACTTTATTTAGAATCTTGTGTGGCCTTTTGCCACACTGCATAGTAAGCTAAAGACTCAAAATGTTCCAAGGAATATAGATGACCTTTGAATGAATTTCAACCGTTATATTTCTGTCAATAAACTGTCTAGCCTATGTAATATCTGCCCTATTAACTCAAGTTAACCTTAATACATGTTTTGTATAGAGCCGAGTAGCCGACACGAATGTACATAATTACGCACAATAATGTTATTAAATATTCAGTCCAAGAGTTGTTAAGTTAAAACTAGTGGATTGCCCGTAATAAACCTTTAGGGTTTTGGAAATAAACCTTGTGCCGGCCGATTGTTGATTTGATAACCGTTGTTAGTAACAATTGGATGATTATTTTTAACAACAACTTAGAAAGCGTTACGTTAACTTCGAAGCTATTTAAAACCGACTTTCGTTTACAAGGTGAATCGAAATTTACTTAATTTTTGGAGTAAAGTTCTTTCTAAGTTAGCTACTTATTGAGTTTCTGAACGTTCATCGACTAAATTGTCTAGCACGTCGATTGAAGTTAAACTGCTGTTTCAAAGTGTTTCTGTGGCAGACATACTGAAAGACTTTCAGAGTTCAAGTTGGAGAGTTTATTTAAATACGTGTCTTAGAAAACTTATAAAAAAGATCTTGTTACGCCATATCGATTGCAAACTAAAATCAAATGTTAGTCGTCGCTTGAGAAATCTAGAAGGATATTCTGTCACGTAAGGTTTAAAGTGGACCTGGCCATACAAATCTGTGAGCTAGAACCCTGAAAGAGCTTGAAAACAAGATTAACGAGGTCAGGATGCGGGCGTTCGATATAACATGGACATCTTCCATTAGTCCCCAAAAGGTTAAAAATTGCAGAAAGGTTTACCTTTAGCATTCGAATACCTTTTATTTGGAAAAGGGACAGTTAGCCTAAAATAACGTACCTTTTTAAGGTAATTTTAGGAATGGCATTTTAAATACGAAATGTTTATCCATATTCGATTGAATTGGTAACTTGATTTCAACTTTATTATAAACAAGATAAGAATTATAGCGTTTTGGTAGGCTTACCATTTGCCGTGACTCCCAAGCCTTCATGGCGCTCTTATACTTCTCGAACTCATGGCACCAGTCTGAGTAGACTTGCTTGTATTCCTGCGACTTACTCGGTTGAGTACATCTGCAATACAATTCACGATGATATATAGGGTCATGTTTCTCTGGAAGTCGCCAACTAACTACAAAAAATTCTTATGGAACAATCAAAATATTCCATTTACCAAATTATTACTTTCATATTTTTTAACAAAAGAACACTGATTTTAATTGATTGAATAGTCTAAAAAAGCTAAGATATCGTTTACCTGTTTATATCGATGTCCAAGTTATAAGAGGCGATCAAGGTGGGTCCAAAATAACATTCGTACCGGCCTCGATCTGATTCTGTTACCGACAGTAACACTAGACCACGTTCTGATGTTTGCAGAACTCGATCCCAACTAGACAAGCAAAAATGAATTATAACCAAAAGAAATATGGAACATCTTTGAATAACGAATTATAGAAAATACTCACTTATAATTAATTTTGTACCGTCCCTTTTCTCTTGAATGGTGATACCAGATGACGTGCTGATCTTTTAGCGCTTCTGGGGTCTTTCCATACGCTGCTAAATGGACACTTTGCCCATAGCCAGCCCTCACAGTCTTCAATGGTGCACTGGCTTCGCAAATTGAGGGAGTGGAGTTGGTGGCATCGTGGAGTAACCCTGGACTGTATGGACGGCAGGCCCCAACTTCTTTATCCCATCCACAATAAGGATCCAACACGCAGCGAACACAACTGTCGTACCTATTACAAAATACAAGTTATAGAAAAATACGAGTTTAAAATGTTAAAACGTTCTTGTTTAAGTTTTCCGAGGTCGTTTATACTTTTGTGGGGACATAAAACATTCGAGAGCTACTAAAACCACTTAAGTCTTAACTCGTGAAATTGGATATTTTACAGAGCAACGAAATGTTTATTATTTTCGCTATACCAGCTAAACAATTGCATTGCGTTTTTATATAGGTCTTAAACCGAAATATTTGCTAAACTACCAATAACCGAGGACTCTTTGATTTGGAGTGAATTGAAGTAATTTTACTTGCACTGAACAGATGTTTTGAAATGGGTGTATATTCGGTACATATAAAATATTTAATAATAGTAAATATTCGTTTAATACAAGAATGGCAGGCATATAACATTATTGCAGGTTTTTGTAAAATGCCAATGCAAATCGCTGTATAGTTTTACTACCAGAATTAAACAGATTTGCAGCTGCTTTCCAATTTTTAATTACCTACTTGATGTGTAGACTAAAAGCGTGGGAGAATCAGGCTTGGCCCACAGCATGAATGAGCCTGCTCGACTGGATCGATAGCACGGTAGAATACCAACGTGAAACAACCACAGCGTTGTATTTCACCTTGTGAGTGAGATTTCCGGAGAGGTAATCCTAAGCCACATCCCCAATTCCGAATTCCCCGATCCCCAAATCCCTAACACCAAAGGCCTATAAAGCACTTATAAGTAAGGGTTTCCATAGTGAGCACAGATTGCTTACCATCACGTTATAATTATGTCTACTGGTTTGCAGCCTTATTCCATAAACACTCTGAGCTTTATTATCTTTCTAAAATTGCAGATTTATAATACAATCGTGATACAAAAACTGCAAAGCTGGCCAACGGCATTTACTTTTACAACTCCTAATCACTGATGTATATAACCGAACAAACTTACAGCTGGTTCTCACTCAACACAACTTATTACTTGATCAGAATTGATAAGCAAAACTTGAAATTATAATATAATCGGTAATTCAGTAAACAGCAGCTGTTCCTTATCAGCGCGAGACACAACGCGCCCGCACATTGGGACCATTCTATAGACCTTGCGATAATCTTGGTGACAGATAGACAAGCCTTTATATATAGCACTAGCTTTTACCCGCGGCTTCACTTCCGTGATTTGACTACCTACACTTCCATAGAGGATATAAGCACGCAGTTATATCTTCATTGATTACTACCGTACCTAGTAACCTACAGTCCACTATCTACCCTACTCTACCTATTCCACCCTACTAACTTTCTCTTTCTGGTTCAAAACTACATCCCCACCTACTCTACGCGATCTGTTCAGCAGTTCTTGAGTTATAAATATCTTTGTTAATATAAGAAGTATGTGTAATATGAATGGTCTAACTGTTGCTTATAATAATTTGGATCTAAAAACTTCAGTTGTGCCAATCTAAATGGAGACACAAGTTACCTCCAGAAGTCTACTTCTAGAAGACCAATTCTAGAGATAATGCACCTGAATATGTAGATACTCACCGATGCGCACAAGCTCTTAACGGCAGCTGTCGAAGACGGTTGTCAGTTGCTAAGTATAACGCGTGCAATCGCCTGGAGATTGCCAAAGCCCGCACAGGCTCATCCCCAGCCGCCCGCCATACATCAGCCACACGGGATCCACCGCCTCCACCCCCTGCCCATTGCACTATCTTGTACACTTCACCAGCACCTAGGAAAAATATAAATAAATAGAGGACATGTGGGCCACGGTTCAAAGTCAAAGTCAAAATCATTTATTCCAACTAAACCTTAAACAGGTACTTTTAAAACGTCAAAATAGAAAAGTAGTCTGTCAGTCTGTTCGTCAGTGAAGCTCATTCCAAATGAGCACCTGTGTGGGCAGTTAATGACTTAAATACGGATGATATTTCTTTTTCCATCCAGAAATAGAAAAAGAAATATTATACCAAACTGTACCAAACTGATATTGTACTTATAATTTGGTTCTAAACATTATTTGTCTTTCAGATTATACAATTTTCATCGGGATCAAAACTTTAAAAATACTTGTATAGAAAACCTATTACGTTTTACGACAATGTCATCGTAAAATCATAATATATTATGTCACTTTAAGAGCTATGAAATAAAATGAAAAAGATCACTTAAGCCTCTCTTTGACCCGTTGAAATTTTATAAATCTTTAAAATCATAATACAACATATGAGCTTGAAGCTGTATGCAATGAAAGTAGGAAGAAACTACTATTACAGATAATTGTAGCCTCCTAAGTCCCAACCTAAATTTGGCGGGATTATTTAACCCAAAAAATACGTTTAAATATCAAGTCATAATTTTCGGTAGCTGAGCTATAATTTAATGATTATAATAAGGATTCTGGACCAATGTGACAATATTTTGTCATTAGATTAGGTCGTTGGGCCTTACGAAGAGGTAATACTTCTTTAAGTTTCGATTATACCACACTTCAGTTAAGAACGCAACTCCTCACTCATCACCAGTTTTTTTATAATAATGTTAGATTTATTTAACTTCCGTTTTATATTGATTATTATTATTAGTATTGTCCCAACTGAAGTGATATTATTAAAATACATACGTAAACATAGTTCAGAAATGCAATAAGTCCTACGACAATAATGTTATAATGTTATACTATATGTGAAGGCTTGTCGTTACCAATATTCAAAATATTTTTTGTTCCTTCTTTAAAATTAATAAAAAAATCATTAAAATCATTAGGTCTTTTCTTCAACTTACTAGTGCCAGCATAGAAGACGGTATACGTGATGTCATCCCCCAACATATCGACAAACTGCCGGTCTACTACGATGGTAGTCAGCACTAGGTCCCGCTTGTAGAAGGCTGGGGCATCTCCTTCGTGACGCACCGCTGAGTCCATTAACGGATGAGACCTAGGGAGTTAGATAAATGGATTAATGGATGCTGAAAATTGACATTAGAACTGCGTTGCTACCAATATAAGGAGGTATGATATGATAAGTTATATTTCAAAGAAATCAAAATCAATAGTAGAATGCTACCGTGCTATTTATTATTACTCTTTTCCAGATATTATCATGATCATCATCAGCTGGAAAAAATCGCCCTAGAGCCAAGGTCTCTGTGGTTTTCTTGGGAATACGTGCATACTTTTTTACTTAAATTAGTTTTACCACATATAATCCTTAAAAATGTGGATTTTCTTACCTATAATGTTTTCTATGGGTTACCGATATCAATACATCTATAGGCCCAGTCATATTATTAGCTACATACTCATAATTAAGTATAATTCATTATTTGAAAATGATACCAAAAGTCAGTAAGTCTCCGATCCAACCACTCAAATAACGAAGCGGTATCAAAGATATCAGAGGCAAAAGCTTCGTGCAAAATAACAGACAAGAAATTCTAGTGCTATACCGATTGTGAAACCAGATTGACTAGTAGAACTAGGTCAACTACCCAGGTTAGTTTGATCCAGAGCAACAAGATACCACTATCACGTTTGTCTAACATGATTTCAATTTATCAATGTTTCTCCGTACCCACATCTCACAGTTTGGTTTCGAAATACCGACAAAATACATAAATAACTCCTCATAGCAACAATAGGATTTCCTGTCAATTAGCTCGAGCTAGGCAATTAATCTAGACGCTTCGGTTACAGCCCTGTGTCACTACAATAGGCCTAGGCGTAAACGATTACGAAATCCATTTATCGATTGTATTTAGTGTTAGGTTTCTGTTATTCTGCCTAATCTTAATTAAGTTGAAATCACGCTGTGTTGCATAAAATTCTAGAAACAACTTTATCTACTCCAATATCCCTAATTTAAAAACAGTCCACAATTTCACAATTTAGACACAAAACAACATATTTATCTAATATAATAAGGAAATAATCAACATCGTTACCGAACACGTGACATTAACAAATCCATACCACATCCACGTGGTTGAATACAATCGAAACTCTATCAGAGGAAGCTAACGTCCCAACAGAAATGTCATAAACCGATTTACGTTATACCAGAGCTACAAACTTTTCAGTTGACACCTAACCAATCCCCGGAGCCTTCATTTCTATTAGTTTTGACAATTATCCGAATATCCGAAACCTATTTAAGTTCCCTAAATTAGAATAGAGTAGGAATCTCGCAGCGCGCCATCAATTAGTGTGTGCCCCAATTAAAGGATACGCGTCGAACTAACGCCCTCTAACCTTGCTCAGATTAGTCTCCTAAGAGCAAGATTAAACTCTAACATTACCAATACGTTGAAAGTGTGCACACCAGCTAAATACACCTTGTTAATCATGCACACATGTAAATTAATGCTATTTATTTTTAGTGCGGTTGAAAACGTACATTAGAGCAGTAAATGACATATCATATAAATCTTAGTTATTTAAATATTATTATTGTACGTTTACAAATATGTCTGCAACTTGGAGTAAATTAGTGCTAATTCTATTTATGAACTACGCAGGTTTTCGGTGTAATTAAAGCTTACGTTTTGAGATATAAGTGTAGAAGAGATTTATGTAAACTTTACGAATATATATATATATATATTATATTACGAGTATAATATGGTATCATAATTAATTTACCTGATAAAATTGAGCACATTGTCGGGAAGAGCTTCCGTATTGTTGACACAAGTGCCTGGCCTGGGAACTGGCACGCGAGCTCTTAGCACAGGTAACCATGCTGAACTTGATGATGCCTGGGTAATCGAATGAAAATTATAAAAATATGGTAGAACAATAGGTAATTTAGAAGGCAACTTAACTCAAAATTACAGTAGGTACGGAAATAATAAAATAGTATCATGACAAAGAAATCTTTTCAAGTAAATAAAACCTCAAAACCTTTAGGTTGTTTAAAAAACTTTCATTAAAATACAAGAAATGCTAGCCATTATCTAAATATTCTCTTTTCTACTGCATAAAGCACCAACTCAACTATCTATAAAAAGCCTTTGCAGAGAACGTATTTATATGGAAAGAGGTAAAGAGTAAAATACGGCATAATTATTCATAACTAGCGCACTCATAAGCTTAATTCCAGTACGCGGAGTAAGAAATTACAGCTGTTAATAATTTTAATCACTTATAATATTATACTGCTATGTAACGTTGGCGTGGAACATCCTCTGTGGTACATTCGTAGATCATTCAATTAAACGCGAAAGAGATACCTACGTCCTTTTACGACATTTGATACGTCACATGGCGAACCCGTGGGACCAGTCTGCTGGGGTTATTTGACTGGTGCATCAACACTACATACAAACATGCATTTCCCAAAGGGTTCGAGCACACCAGTCAGTCGCTTTCCGTTAATTGATTTAATGGGGTTTAAAGGGTGAACTGATTGGCATACAACTGGGCGTTCCAGATTTCATCGTGTTTTCATTTCATAGAGGATGAGAAATTAGTTGTGATTCAAGATTTTAAAAGGACCCAGACGCCTCAACTACATGTCTAATGTTTCGATACTAAAAGCGGTTGAAATGAAGTTTAAACGGAGTCTGCGGAGTTTTTATAGCTTTAATACATGTCTGGCTTTAAATTGCTGCAGTAAAGTTATACCTGTTCCTTGAATCTTCCTGCGAATGCCTCCTGTATGTCGTCCATGGTGTAAGTGCAAATGGCCGAGCCAACCAGGCCATCGCTAGCTCCCGTCGTGAATGCCGCATAAAACCGCGTCGTATCACCCGGCATTTGGTACACGCTCTCTGGATCACGAGTTTTAGTGTTAGTTCCAAAATAAAAGTCATCGTTAAACATAGTATATGCACATCCTGCACGCTTTTAACATTTTATAAATAGTGCTTAACTTGCAGCGAAACTAAAGATCCATAAAGGAAGCAAATAAGTATTCACTCGAGACTTTCACAGAATTTAATGCTGATACTTAAATGAGACTACAAAGTTGCGCCCCAAATAAAATCCGACTTTACAACGTAGCAATGAAATGAAGCCCGAAAATGTTTAATTCTCTAAAAGTTAAATTGAAATACGACTATTAAAAACTGTTGATAACATTAAAAAGATTCAAAACTTACGTAACACAAGTTGTACTTACGAATTTCATCAAAATAGAAGGGGAACTCTCCCGGTATACTACAATTGAGCCTCGCTTTCAAATATGTGGCCCAGTTCTGGCTTAATATATGTTTTCCACCGGTATCGTGTTTACAGACTCTCGCCACTCTCGAGTAGACAGCTTTTCCGCAGTTCATAAACTCCACAGCAGTTTCTCGAAAGAAGAATAGCACGTACTCTCCAACGTCGAAAGAACCCACGAAATTAGTTTCTGCGGCAAATTAAAAACATTGTAGCAACTCAAAATAATATTACACAGACATACGATTACAATTTTATCGTTTCTGGATTACGATTTCATTAGCAAATGTATTTATTGTGGAAATCCCGAGATGCTCCGAATAAAATTGCCTTTCCTTAACATTTCCAATAACTAATAAAAATGTAGGCTTTTATTTCGGGTCGTTTAGCTGACAGGTCAGACATTGTACAAGGTTCTTCTTTATTTCCTTTTATGTTCCTACGATAAAGAGTAAGCACCTATAGGTTTTATCGTAGTCTCGTAAAAGAAAGTACGGAATAAGGGACAAAGACCCAATATCCCGATTAATATAATGAACGTCCCCAGGTTTATTCATTCAATAATGCCGATATTTTGCATGGCCATTGTAAATTCTGATCGTAGATGAAGATTGCGCAGATAAAGCTACTTTTGTTAGGATATTTAGATGTTTTTGTAATCTAAAACAAAAAAAATATTCCTGCAATATAAGTGGTTCTTCAAGGGAATGTATTTCTAAAACGTAACAGCTTTATATTTAGTTATTAAATAAGCCTAGAATATTTTGAGTGTAACCACGATATATTAATATTCACTATTGCTATAACAATCAACTACTACCCAATTTCAGCCATAATAAATAAGATGTAGTTATTCAAATTAATACCTACGGTCTACAATGAGTTGAACATTCTTGGTCTTATTTAAGGTGTATTAATCATTCTTATTGGTTGTACTTCCAAGAGAATTTATATTGCGTCGACTGCGGTCATAATTTCACAAAATAATGTAAAATATTTGATTTACATTCACATTTAAATAGATATTAAATTGTTTCGACTGCAAAAGTTTGCCAACAACAAGCGTTTAACGTAGAAGTTTTGTGTCCATAGCTGTTACGAAAGAGCATAAAATACAATTACATTGAAGATTCCCTCAGACAGACATGACTTGTGGCGTGGCACGAACTCGCGAGAAATCCTTAATTTTTCTTTGAAGTTGCCACGTACCAAGGTCGTCTGCCAAGTCAGATCTGCCTGTAAAGGTCATATTACAACTGAATCTAAAAAGAAGGAGAAATTAACTTACTGTCAAGCCACTTGGAATCGTACTTTAATGTTCTTTTAAAGTTATATTTCTTCTGTCCCGTTCGGAAATCGTACAAATCGTTTCGAAATATAACAGGGTCTGCTTTCGTGAACTCTGCGTTAGTTCCCGCATAGAGTGTGGGAAGTCCGCCAGGGTTACCATCCGTCACCCACACTGCTGTGCTGTTGTCTGCCGGGTCGTAAGGACACTTCGCCACCCCTAGCCCTACGCCCGGCACGTACTCATGTCGAGGCAAGTGAGTGAGATTCAGCTAAATAGAAAAAGAAAAAATGAGACAAACACGTAATGTTTAACATTAGAGAGGGTCTATGTTACGAACTGATATCGATTCTAGAACTGGAGCTCAAATTATTAATTTTACAATTTTTATTTTATCTCATCATTTTTTTCATAATTTAGCAGTAAAATGACATCAAAATTATGTAATACTAAAAACATTATTAATGAAAAGTTAAAGTACTGCAACAAAGTAAGTTTTCCCTCAAACTCTGTAAGATAAATGAGGATGACAATGAAGAGATCAATCTTACATTTGGTAACTAGTTGGGGCTTGTAACAACTAACTGTCGGACTGATCGAACTACTTAATGCTGATAGAAGCCATTAACCATTTTACGGGTAATCGTTAAGAGAATGTTACTTTACCCTTTAGATTTAAAGACTAAATTTTCTTTGTTAGTTACGGGCCGAACCTTTAATTACTGAAGTAATTAAGATAATCTCATCAACACTTTATAAATTGGGTAGAAGATTAGAGTTTGGGAGCCGAGTATTTTAGAAAGCCTTTTTTGTTGTTCGTGCTAGTTTTAAATTGAAGTTTGTTTGCTTTTTTTATGAAATACGTTTTTGTTTTGGTTTTTACTGTGTTTTCGTAACAATTGTATTTGTCGCTTCGATTGCTCAAATAGGCACTTGGCATTTATTCAGCCTCGCAAATAATAAAAAAAAATCTTTCTAACATACACATCCACAAAGGGATAAATAGGTAGAGAATTTTTGACACTTATTTATGTCCTCTTGTAGGTATAGGCCTGTTTTAAATAAAGTCTTGCATGCATACGAGCATAATAAATCGAAGACTAGTCATTATGAAATGAAATGAAATGAAATCGTTTATTCGTAAACATAGGTTATATAAAGTTGTTTGAATGATTGACATACAGTGCAATACAGCGAGACCGTCTATGTTTTGCCTTGAAGCATACAAATTTATAAGTATAATTAAGTATATAAATTGAGGTAATAAGAATACATTCAGTCATTTAAGTATCTACACAGGAACAAACGTTTCATAATGGAAGTTTAACCACTGAACCATCACCATCAGTCACATCATGAGCTTTAATCCCTAATGCAGAATGTCAAAGATTTGGTTAAATAATATAATAATAATATGGAATGTCATGATAAGCACAAAATTACAAACAATATCTAATGTTAGTATATATCAAAAATTAAATGGTCAAATTCAAGGATGAAAATAGAATAAAAATAAAGAATGTCATAGGTAAATCCATAGTTATTTTGAATAAAATCACTCAATATAGTCAGTGTTGGTTGCATTTTGAGAAACCAATCACATATACAAGCAAATCGGATATAGTAGGCCTAGCATCTTTCATCTAAATAGTCATTAATTTTATAATAGCACTTAGTTGCCAAGAATTCATGTAGACGTTTTTTAAATATATTAATATTATCAATTTCAACTATGTCTTTAGGTAACTTATTAAAGATTTTAGGTGCCATACCTAAAATGTTTTTGTTGAAGATGGCTTTTTTATGTTGTGTAGCGCAGATCCTATATTTGTGACGTTTACTTTTAGGGTGGGTGAACAGGTGAATGTTTGTCTTAACATAGCTGGCAACCTCAAATATATACAAGGAGGGAAGAGTTAATAGTTTCAGTTCCTGAAAATATGGTTTGCAGCTGACTGTGCTTTGTATACCACATATTGCCCTTATGCATTTCTTTTGTGATTTGAACGCCATGTCTCTATCCGGCGAATTTCCCCAGAACAGAAGCCCGTATCGCAATGTTGACGAGACATAACCGTGGTATGCTGTAATTAATGTTTCCTGATTAGCCACTTTTCTTAAGTTGTAAAGCGCGAAGGAGGATTGGCTAAGCTTTTTGCAATCACTGTCAATGTGGATTTTCCAATTTAGCTTTTTATCGATCCAGATACCCAAGAATTTAGCATGATCAGTTTCTTGAATATTTTTCCCAGCATATCCTACGTGAAATTGTTTACTACAAATTCTTTGCGCAAATGATATGTACGTTGTTTTTTCTAAATTAATTTTTAATTTATTTGCAGTTAGCCAGGCTATGATGTTGTTTAGGTTATCATTAATTATGATAATCTTGTTATCTTATCTGAGGATCAAATACAAGGTTTCTTTCACGATACTCTAAAAAAAATAAATGTTTCCAAGTTATACTTACATAGACGACCCAGTCTTTCGGACTGTGTGCATTAGTCCCGCACACGTATAACCTCTCTCCATCACCAAGAGGCTGTAGCACCCGAATATGATTCCTGCACTCGAAGGGCTCAGACTTGCCCTTACTCACACACCTGGCCACGTTGCTCGCCTCCAGCAACAACGCGTCCCGCTGCGAAACATGCACATGTTAATAACTGCAAAACATGTGCTTCTCACATCCCACTAAACATGTGTCTGCTAATTCAATAACCATGTCTACAACTAACATATGCCGCGCTCTCGTCTCTAAAATTATCTTGAATTCCAAAACTGTGAATAATACACAAATAGCTATCATTTCAGATTAATATGAATAGCAAATAAAGCTTTATTGTCTAACAATAAAACGATATAATAAATTCAGACATTTTATTTCAGTGCTTTGCTTGAAATCAAAACAGTTGTCTACCATTTGCTCGCCTCGTCGGGCAATTCAAAAGTTGACGTGCTACAGAAATAATCCAGCTCTAGATATTAAACACACGTGAGATATACGTCTGCTCTGATTCAACGCCCTGAAAATAGTGTGGAATATGTCTTTTTATAGACAAATAACACTTCATTTTTATTTAAACCTGATACTCCACGTAAGTATCAAATAAAACGCACGCGTCCTCTTCATACAAGAAAAATAAGGGCTTTAATGTCAAAAGAGTATGACGCTTACGTGTGAAAATGTAGAAAAAGCATATATGTATGAAAGCAAGATGCATTCAAAATACAGTGTAGTGCCGCAAAAGTGTTCTTTAGAATTCACCAACCGTAAACAAGCGGTTCGCTTTACTTTTCAAAAAAAGTTAATTTTAGGGTGATATTCTGTGAGTGGTCGTTGCAGTTAAAATCGCAATTGTAATCAAACTTATATTTTATTAGGTACACTTTGAGACCTCGGTTAGTGACATTTAGAGCTGCATAAGAGTAACTCTGAGCAGCTAAGTCCTTTAATCAAAACTAGTTCAATCTGCTTCTGACTGGATCCGTGGATTAAGACTTACAAACGAACAGTTTGTGACAAACGATGCACAATATTTCTCTGATGCCAAGAAATCGAAGACATTTAAAATATCGTAGAAATCGCCGATTTCTGAGTACCTATGTCATATAGGTAGACTGTAGAAATCTATGAAGATTTTTCTAGTAATTTTTCAAGCTACATATTAATGTCCGTCAGTAATCCTTTGTAAACTACAAACTACTTACAATTCCAATAACAGTAACTTAAATATTCTTACCTCACAATGCGACTGACTAATATCAGTCATATTTAGTCTGAATACACGATCCCTGGAACAAAAATGGCCACTTAAATAAAATTGTTTATGGAAATAACTGTAATACAGTTGTAGAAGCACAAGATAATAATAGTTTCTTAGCTGCATTACGTATTCAAATAACAAAAGTAAGACAATCTACGTTGGAATTGAATGAGCTTGGTTCTGGTGGGCGGGTGCAATGGTGGGTAGCGGGTAGCGGGTAGCATATGCATGTGCGCAGACAACGTTTTTTCTATTATTTTTTGTCCACTATCTGCTCAACGGATCGCATAAATTGCGGTGAATTGTTGGCCGTTTAGTATTAATGCTTTGTAGGTTTGGTCGTTTAGTTTTACTGTCTTTAATGGTAATTTCTGCGCACAATTAATTTATTAGTTTTACGCCTGCACACATATGCAGGATTTATTCTGCAAGAGATCGATGCTCCCTTTTGCCTCAAACAGTGCTAGAGATGCCAAAAAATTATATCACCCCTCAAAATAAAAACACACTCACACACACACAGACCCCTGCTGTTAGTTTCCTGTATGTAAGACGAGGACCTATTTGTTTAAGTACCAACCTCTTTTGACTATTAATGATTAGCTTAGTTATTTTTTAGTGATCAGTTTATTAAAAATAAAATCCAGATTAAGTACTATTATTAAGAATATAATTATCAAAAAAAAGTTATGCTTATCTAATTTCATAGCAGATCTCCTCGTCTTCTGACCTAACAGTATAGGATTTGTAATGACTAATTTTAGTTCTATAAAAATATTGGGAAATGAATAGTCAACTGTAACTCAAGTATTATTAATAACATACTGGGGTTGTCTCATATATGTATCAGTTACTTAATTGAAAAAAATAAGATAAAATAAACCTCTTTGTATTTATTTTATAGGACTTGAGATAGAATTTTATGAAAGTTCATTATCAACTCTAGCACTTCGGAACACGTCTTAATTTATACTGGCCAGTATAGGATATGGTTTGTTAACAAAACAAATGGTAACTTCACATCGTATTGGTTGAAGTTTGAGAATTTGAGAATGTATCGTAGTTGAAAGTGTTAGATTTATGTGTATACTTGTAGCAGTTACTTATACGTGAAGTGGTTACGACTATCGTAAATTCTTGTGTAAGGTGTTAATATTCGACATAAAATATTATTTTTGTAGATGTTGAGGTAGTAGTCTACATTCATTACATTTATTGTCTTTTCTAATGAGTTTCAAATAAACTTACATAAATTGATACTTTTTTATGCGAATCGACGGATAACCTGATGGTATGCAATCATTGCCACACATAGACACCTGCAATCCCTGAGTACTTACAAATACGTTGCCGAACTATTATGTAGGAACAGGTAGTCGTATCGACAAAAGATACTCCTAAATACGTTATTAATATAAATTAAACCCTTTTAATTTTTTTTTCACCATATAATAACTTATGTACCAGGAATAGTTCGAAATGACTTCGAATTTTTCAACTTAAACTTTAACTTTTAAAATTAACATACAAAAAAATAAAAAAGTCGAAAGAAGAAAAAATAAAATAAAATTGTACGGTCGAGTTGAAAACCCGCTTTTTTTAAAAGTCGTGTAAATAGATGGAAAATGCTGGTGACGCAAAATGTAGTTACTTACTTATCTACCTATTTTCTAGTTTATTTATTTATATTTAAAACGTACTATGTCCAAAAATTACGTTACTCACATAAACACTTATCACACAGTACTTGAGTCACAAAATAAACTGCAAACACTTTCTGCATGAACATTTCTAGAAGTACGTTTTACTGTTAGTAATAATATAATATTCATATTTTGCAGTAAACTCTATCTTTAGTCTTTTACACTAGCAGCCCGTTCCTGCTTTGCTTGGATGTCCAACAACCTCATCAGTCATTTGTTTTACTAGCGACGGTATCAAGAGCGTTGCTTAGAATTTTCTAACTTTGTCCACGGCTTTAAAAATAATGTAATGTTAGAACCAAAAAATCTTATCACTTTCCAAGTATCTCCATAGTACTATATTCGATAGACCATACCTACATATCTAATATCATGTTATAATATTGTACGGTTATCTAATATGGGTACTAACTCATAAAGGTTTTGTATCTAATGATATACCAATTAGAAATGTGTGTAATTCAGATCCTTAATTATTATTAAATAGTTCCTATAAGTAGGTCAACGTAAAAAAGCGTGTTTAAAGTCAAAAATTGAAGGATTAAGAAGATCCAACCATTGGCTCATTTCTGAATCACATAAGGCTCGACTGGTAGAAAATACCTAAAGCAATGCCGTCTATCTACCTATTATGAATAAAGTTTAAATAAATAAATAAAGATTAGCGCAATATCCTAATAATTCTATTATCTATAGAGTTTTTAAATAAATCAAGCAATCTAAATTTAAAATTCCAAAAAGTTGGTCAACATTTGTGTTTTTTTTAAATATCATAATGTTAAAACTACACTCTACTTGATGAGGTGGGTAAAAATTTCACGCGCACACATGAAAAAGAAATATTATGCATTGAACCACTGGAGGGAATAACATAAAAAAAATATCATAAATGTGCATCGCTCTGGCGGCCACGTTTTCATAGAGTTAAGTGTAATCTCGTGGGAAATAAGCATTATGATATTCGGACATTTGATGGATATATGTCTAAACAAACAGACGGAACAAGCAAAGCTATAAATGAAGAGAACTTTAAGAGATCAATTCTAAAGAACGAAGTCAGAAAGACTCGAAGGCTTTCGTGAATTAAAAATCGTATTTGCTCGAAGAAGTTAGGTAATTAAGCGCATCTAGACTAGTTTAATCCATTGGGATTTAATTTATTTGAAAGTCTGAGTTTAAGTTAGTGCCATTAATGTTCAAGTCGTTTTAAATCCATCAATATTCGCCTTTTAAAAAAAGATTATCTTTCTAAAATCATTCAAACACAAAAATCACAAATACAATATGAATTTAATGAATTAGAATAAAGGTGCCTCTAAGAATGTCAATGAAAAAACCAACGCTTTATTTTCTATTTCCTTAGCTTAAAACTTTTACTATTTCTTTAACTCGACTATAGCCCAAGTACCCATCGCGGCTGCAGTTAAGAAAATAACAGCTAGAAAGAAATATTTTAAATCCTAACAACAAAACTCGCTTAGAAAATTAGTGTCACAATTGTAAAAGCACGTCCATCGTCCATACATTTCAACGTAAACGCGTAAACAACAGAAAAACAACACGAACAAACAAAAGTTGACAGAAAATTGTGGATAATATGGTTTCATGTCTCGAAGCCATTTCCCTTGTAAATCACGACGGTGACGCAAGTGGTTATGGTAACGGCACTAATCAGCTACAATTGTACCCTTTTTGTATTTATATTTCTCTTTCTGATAAAAAAGAAATAATTAACAGTAAAAACAACATTATATGCTGGGTATTTTCGACTAACTGCCGAGTAATTATTGAGGAATTGTTAGCTTTGTATTAATTTGCTTTGCTAACAAGCTTTAGATTTATATCTGTTATGTTATTTAATAATTGAGAAACTTGTGTTTGTTATGGATATGGTTTACCTACTGGTCAAATTTGAAGGCATAATTTTCTGATCTGAATACCCAATGCATTAAACAATTGGTTGGTGATCCAATATTAGCTAGTAATAATTTGTTGTTGTCTGAGAAAAGCTGAACATCGCGTTCAATTGGCGTGCAATTGAAGAGTTATATGTCCAGCAGTGGACGGAATCAGGCTGATGATGATGATAATGACGATATTTGCCTGCCTTGTCTTTTATAAAAAAAAGTCAAAAACTAGAAGGCCGTCTGACAATTTTCAATATCAGCTATACTGACTAGCAAAAATTGACAATGTCAGCGAACGGAGAGTTTAAAGACAAAATAAACATAGTTATGGCAGAAGCATACTTTTGTATCGTGGCCTAAGAGACAGAAGCATTCATCCATTTGTACAAGTAAGTGTCTAACCGTAATAAATGTTTGAAACTGATATGCTACTGGCGCGTCACGATTCGTCACGACACGTAAATACGAGTCCTGGAATTATGCTCATCACACCACCCCACAAGTAACAAGCTCGCCCTTTATTACATTACCAATAATAAGATAACTGGTGATCCATATGTTAGCTAAACCTGACCCTGACTACCCTTCTGAGGTTAAATGGCGCGTAATAACATTACAACAATTTAAAACACAAAAAAGAATAGTTTTTTGAGTGAAGATTTAATTTTAAAATCATTTATAACGGCCGAATGGTATAATATTACTAGTTGAGATACCTCGACTAATTTTAAGCCACGCAAGGGCTCGTATTCATAATCAGCATTAACGCGAAACTTACCGAGACCGAGACCCAAAAGAGTTTACGCCAATAAACCCTTTAATTAAATAGGTTACCCTACACTAGGATTTTCTCCTGTGTCGTGGGTATGGTTACAAACAAACAAATTTACTTACACATGACACCCAGACCCGATACAACAATTTGTGGATCACACAAAAACTTGTTGCGTGTGGGAATCGAAACCGCGACACGTTTCGCGACAACTAGTTGCCCAGTCACCGCACCAACCATGCAATCTAAGACAATTCATCAAACAAAATAATTTGTTATACAAAATTGGACTTACATAGCACCAACGTAAAGTGTATTTCTTTCTTCATTGAGGTACAAAGTACGGTAGAAGAGACTTCCGCAAGAGAATTCTCGTATATGATCTGAAACAAAGAGATACATATTATTTAGTTGTATGTACACTGCAGTACACACTTCTTATGTCTCAAGAAAGTTACGATTTTGGCTAAAGTTCTTTGTGTAGTTTAATAAATGTGATTCGTAAAATAAAACAGCCTTATAAAATTTAATCTTATAATATTTAAACTGACTAAATATTTTAAGCACTGTATCAGATCCTAAATTTCACGAAATATGTGAAATTGCACGTGTGTCCAACAACCTCATATTAAATTCCACCTCTATTAGAACCTCCTCCTGACTAATATAAACACAGCAAAAAATATTGACAAAAAGTCTTCCAGGCCTTGATTAGATAACATGCGCTTAGCAACTTTTTTTACATAAAAGATAAGTTACTTTTTATTTTAAAATACCTAATTTATTTACACTTTAAATCAATGTCATCTATTAACACAACTTATAAAATATGTCTAATCAACCTACAGAAGTATCTATTAAAGCGTAAACTTATCAGTTTAATCAGAATGTTATTTCGAAATCTACATTCATCCGATGAATAATTACAACAGTAAATTAAAATATAGATTTGTTAGTTGTTCATTTTATAAATCACAATTTACGAACAGCGAATATATGTACATATATAAAAGTTATAAAGTCGATATATGGCTGGTTTATGCAATGTATATTTAAGTATTCCATCATTTGCATAAGAATTGGCTATCGAAATATAATAACAATATTTCATGCAGACAAATTGCATTCGCTGTATATTATTATACTTTTATATTTTAATAAAATACACTAAATTTATTGAAATAAATATACGACTCCTTTTTAGGAAGTCAGGTAGGGAGGAAGGTAAGTAACATCTCGCTTGTTATTTCCTGAATAGTTAAGCAGAAAGGTATGTTCATAACCTCTTTATCGAAGAACAGGAATAAGCACTATTTTACTATCTCCTACGACTAAGAGTTTTTGATTCAAGGAACTGATTTTGAGGAGCCCAATCATCAAATGACTTCTGTCGCCCAGGGTCGGGTGAGAGGGGTTTTACTGACTAAAAACCAGCCCGTTCCTTCTCCTAACCCAGGACCAGACCGCTGTACATTACACATAAACCAAAGCCCCGGCTAGTAATGTATCAAACCTGTGCTTTAAACACATATATATCACTTGTCGCATAAACTATTTAATTAGGAAATTAAATATAATTCGCTCAACAATGCCCTCATTAAAATAACAAACCAACTAAATTATTTAACCACATTAAATACACATAAAAGTGACCCCTGTGTGACGTGCTATCATTACAATATAATAAAATCAAAAACAAGGGTTTCTGTTTACCCTAATTACCATAAACCCAAATGACAGGAAGCTACTCTTACAAATAGAGAATCCATTTTTTTTCGGCTGTTAATAAAATAATGATACCCTGTCACCATGAATCGTTAATGTGAAATAAAAACTATGGCCACCATATTTACACTATATTTAAGTTAAATTTCGTGTATTATTTTAACAACGTTTTCTTTCCCAATACTTAAAAAATCATTGCATTTCTATAACACAACTTTCTTTAAGTTATATTCAAACCGTCGTCGTGTGATAAGAATGCGTAAATTTAATATATCTAGTTTTTCAAGTTACCTACCTATATTATCCTTCACCAAATCTTATACCAAAATCTAAAATGTTTTTGATAGGAATCTAAATATTAACATTCATTATTATATACATAAAATTCATTCTACATCGAATCACATCTAAATCAAAAAGTAAATACAGAAACGGAAATAGGGACATATACTTATTTAAGACGATATTAAACTGTTGATGTAAATACTCATAATAATATTATAACCCCAAATCCAATACAAAATATTAAATAATATTTCTAACAACAAAACAATGTAATGCCATATGCAATTTTCGACGGCAACTAATTATAACTCCCGGGTAAGGAGGCGGTGGTTATTGGCAGGTGGTCCGACCGGCGCGCACGCAAGATATCGTGACACCCGCGCTCGACATCGTCACGTTTACAACGACCTCTACTTAACTATAATTAAACTTTAAGGCTTATGCTTGTAGGATATTGTCTGTAAGTAAATTTGATTGATTTTATGTAATATCTACCCCCAATATGAGGGCTTGAGTTTGCGTTGCTTGCTCATAAACAATATTAAGTGACTATACAAATTTTTAAATCGGTCTTATGAAGACTGAATGTCAATAAACAACTGTTATTACATACTAGCTTCCGCAAGCGGCTTCACCCGCGTGGTATATTGATTCAAAGTAGCTTATGTGTTAATCCAGGGTATCACCTATCTACGAGTACATACATAGCAAGTTTCAACCAAATCGGTCTGGCCGTTTTTGCGTAAATGGATAACAAACATACATCTATACATTGTCACAAACTTTCACATTTATAATATTATAGTAGGATAGTAGGATAAGATAGTAGAATTAACATATTCTACTAACAAATCTGACATAATGACGAAAATCTTTTGAAAATCTATTTCGAAGTTACGGATAAACAAACAGGCTATTATTATGGTGGAATGGAAAAGTATGCATAATTTTGAAGCGTCAAATAAAATGTATAATTTCGTTTTATTTTGAGTGTTTTGCCTGCAATATTGGGCATATCATTGAAGATTTAAAAGCATGTAAATTTTATGATACAATAGAAACGCATCCCTGACGATGACATAATTGTTTTTATGGCTTTGTCGCCAAATAATATAAACTTGGGATTTGAATGACAACAAACATGAAAGACAAATTTCATTTGTTCTCTGCTTTTTAAGTGCCAATCCAGCCGACGGATAATACATACATCATCAGCCTATAAGTGCCCAATGCAGAGCAAATGCCTCTTCTCACACGGGCAGGTTTGAGCGTTAATCACCACGCTTACTTAAGGCGGATTTGCGATTTCAAACTTATAATTAGAAATTACCTATATAACTCCTGGTTTCCTCAAGGTATTTTCCTTCGCCGTATGTAAGTGGTGTCTATAGGTACATATAATATAGAAAGTACATTTTACTAGGAAAAAGTCACATTGGTACTTGCCAGGCTTCGAACCCGCACCCTCATTCATGAGAAGCGGGCGCCTTAACATCCAAGCCACCACGATCACATACAGACGGATTACCTGATGGTATAGTTTCGGTAACTTCACTCACATGGCAAAACGTAACACTGTGGTTGTTTCACGACGGTTTTCTGCGAGGTCTTGGTAATACTTCGGTCGACCCCGCTTATTTGTGCCGTCACTTTAATCGTTTAATTATTAATTAAGCGATAAACTTGTATATCTATGTATCATATCCATAGAATTTACTATAATAATTATGCTACTTACTATCAAACAATTCGTAGCGATAAATTGGTACCCAGTAATGGTTTTGTGGTAAAATATAATGTTCATTACAAAATATTTTACTTTCTGATTGATTGACATAAATTTTTGTACATAACACAGCTTCGTGTTAAGGTGTTAAGCCGTGATCTATATGTAAGGTACTTAAAGGTATGCCAAATATTCTCAGATGTAGGTAATTTTATTATGTCTAGACTTTAACAATGTGACCTATCAATTGGTTTCAGCGTCTTTTTAGAGAAGCCAGATAGAAAATGCTGGCCTCGTCTAGAATTTCTTATTATAATGGTGAAGCGTATGTTCATAATTATTTACTCTACTAGTGTTGCCTACATAAAAATATGCGCAGTTACATACTAAACCTTGACAATATACCAGATCTGACAAAATAATAAAGTATCTACTTAATAATGTTTAATCTTGCATAACTGCAATTTATAAACGCATTTTTTTATATAAAAAATTAAAATATTTAATATAGTATCTGGATCATAATGTAAACAATGAGTATGTGCAAACAGAAAGAAAAAAAAACGTAGGAACAGTATTACTATAAACAATATATTATTATATTGCAACTAACAAGAACGGACTTTATCAATTATATTCATTTTTTTACAAGCAATAAATCCTACATCATATTTTAAATTAATTGCACATTCTGAAAAAAATCTAGTCACAGCACTAATGTATCAAGTTATGTATTATCCTAAAGGCTAGACATATAAATAAAAAAAAAACGTAGAAACTCTCGCGGAATACAAAATTCGCCGACAGACATCCTAATTTGCCTTTCGCACTCAATTTGCAGGATCGATGGTCATCGAATCAAAGTTAAGTAAGTAAGTTAAGTGCAGGAGAGCCATGCTTCAGTACGAATGAGTCACCTCACAAAAATGGCGTGCAATAACCACAGCGTTGTGTTTTGCTGTGTGAGTGAGGTTACAGGAAGCTCAATCTTTCTCCCTATCCCCCCCCCCCCCCCCAATCACTACATCCCACACGGAATAGATAAAACCTTATTTATCTATTCCGTGACATCCCAAAACCCTAATACCCAAAAGGTCGGCAACGCACTCGTAACTCCTCCGGTGTTTCAAGTATCCATGGGCGGCGCTGATTGCTTACCCTCAGGTAATGTGTGGGCTCGTTTGACTTCCTATCACATAAAAAAATTAAGCAAACAATAGTGTTTGTCAAAGTACATTACTCTTATTATTATATCGTAAATTTTACAGCGCCTCTAGGGGCTACTTAAGAAAATAAAATGTTTAATCGAAAAAAAATCGCGTGGTCGCTGTCAAGTATTGTCGATACTAATGCTTTAATTAAGGTAGAGGTGGTGTTTAGTTATAAATTCCATAGTGAACAAATGAGAGCTAATTATGATACTGCGATGATTTGATCATTGAATGACGTGATAAGCCAGGGATATGTTGACACCACTGGACAGCGGTAATTATGACACTAATGAACCTATTGTTTGACACTCTAATGAAGCGTGGGGTCCAATGTTGCTGGATTGGCACGTTATCTTCTTGTAACATAGTGGAGTATTAAATTTTTTTTTTATTCGGTTTATAGACTTAATAAAAAAGTACGTAACATTTTTAAAGA